CTACGAGATTACAAGCCCGTTGCGAACCCCTCGGGAAAAGGCCAGTCTCCTACTGAGCGAGACCGAGAATCAACAAGCCACACCTACTGGCTCCGCCCCTAAACAAAATGGTGGAATAATTGACTCAATCTCAATGTTAGTTGTGTGTGTATTTTTATTTTATTAATATTGTGATACAGGTTCTTTGTACCTGATGATGCTCCAATCATTACTGGATATAATGATACAGCCCCTACCACTGATACTATTAATATATTCTCAATAGCTTCTGGACACCTTTATGAAAGATTCCTAAGGTTAGGAGTGTAGATAAGGAGAGAAAACTAAAGATTAATGAGACAGACATTATTACACTTTATTTGTCAAAGGTTCTTTAATTTTAAGAGGGAGAGAGAGGGGGGGAGGAGGAGTACTGACATGTACTCGTATTACTAGTGGAGTGTTATTAGTGTTTGTATTGTGTAGGATTATGATGCTAAGCGTTCTGAAACACACTAAAAATCCAGTCAAGTTTTGGTTTCTGAAAAATTATCTCTCACCACAATTCAAAGTAAGGAAAACTAACAAAATAATTATAAGTTTTTGTACATCAATTAATGATTATTATTATTGATTGTTTCATTCTCAGGATTTCATTCCCAGGATGGCTGAGAGGTATGGGTTTGAGTATGAGCTGGTACAGTACAAGTGGCCACGCTGGCTTCATGGACAAACTGAAAAACAAAGATTAATCTGGGCGTGAGTAAATAATTATTTTTTAATAATAATTATTGTTATCATTTTAGGTACAAAATATTATTTCTAGATGTACTTTTTCCGTTAAATATTAAAAAAATAATTTTCGTTGATGCTGACCAGGTATACAATGTAGTTATAAAATTAGTGTTTAATAACCATTGAAAGTTATTAATTTTAATAATAGTTATAGTTAAGTTATTAATAGTTCTTAGTAGTTATTAATGGTTATTAATAGGTGGTTCGTACTGATATGAAGGAATTGTTGGAAGAGCCATTGGATGGAGCACCTTATGGATACACTCCTTTCTGTGATAGTCGTACTGATATGGATGGATTCAGGTAATTAATGATATGTAGTATTGGTATAATAATGGACCCTGTTTGGCCAAACATGAAAAGGAGAGAATTTTTCATTTTAATAATTTTTCCTTATGCATATACATGTTCTTATGTTGCATAGAAAGTTTGAGCTAATTCCAATCAAAGTTGGATTTTTTTACAAATTTTTAAAGTTGCTCAAAAATTGGGCCAAAGTCCCTGTACTATAGTACAGGGTCATGAGCCGAATTTTGCCAAAAATGAAAAGTAGAGAATTCTTCATTTTTATAATTTTTCCTGATACGTATACATGTTTTTATGTTACTTTGAAAGTTTGAGCTCATTTCGATCAAATTTGGATTTTTTATGAATTCTCCAAGCTCTAATCCTAAAGCCATGTAGTGTGAGCTCATAAAGTGAGATGTGGTTTTTAGCTCACTTATCATGCTTTATGGGGAAACCCTGGAAACAGGCTTCCTTAATCTCCTATATTTTACTGTCCTTAATGTAGACAGGCTTTTCATGTTCTTTTATTAATGTACATATACATTGTGTATATTATGATTAATGGGTTATATTGTTGTATTATCTGTTCCTCCAGGTTCTGGAAGAGTGGCTATTGGAAGAATCATTTAGGAAGGAGGCGCTATCACATCAGTGCACTGTATGTTATTGATCTACAGCAGTTCAGACTATTAGCTGCTGGGGATAGATTAAGAGGACAATATCAAATGCTATCATAGGATCCTAACAGGTACAGTGAGTCTAATCAATAATCTTATGATAAACAATGGATCATGAGACCTACTGACTCAAATAAGAATATCTTGATGATGACAGATTGTAAATTGTGTATAATTTAAGTGATGGTGTAAATTCAAAGTATTTGAAAATTACCTGATAGATCATATTATACATTTAGGCCATTATGAACATGCAATCAAAG